TATGTATGTATTTTTCAAAATAGAGCCCTTCCAGTGTTTAAGGATAACAATCATAGGTAAGATAAAAAATCTAGCTAGTATTGAACAATTCTTAGTCATATGTACAAGTAAACTATGAAAAGGAAGCTGATCTTTTGCATGCTTCCTCCTTTAACCTTCCCCAATCACAAGACACAAACTCTGATGAAATTACCTGGATGGGGCTGGGGATATAGCCCAGTAGCACAGCGCCTGACTGGCAAGCGCGAGGTCCTGAGTTCAATTCACATGCCAAAATAAAAAGAAAAGAAAACAAGAAATTACCTGGAAAAGTGTATTAGCACCTTGCAGTCTGGCTGGACTCAGGGGAGCGACAGGGCTAAGTGTGCTCCAAAAGTGGATGCTGGAGAGCAAGGGACTTGGAGTCAGCAGGATGGGTGTCTGCAACACGTAAAAACAGCCACTCATCAGCAGGCTTCTGCTTCATCCTTGCAGCAGTACACAAACAGTCAGGTTGCATATGAATCTGGACACAAACTGAGCCCAAATATCATGCTATTCTCTACTCTGAATAGCTCTAATTCTAAAATGTTATCATGATGAAAAGCTTAGACATCATTTTACAACCCTAGAAAGATGAAGGCCAAAATAACTACTTTTTCATCAAATATTTTTACTTTTATTTATTTTTCGGAGGGTCTTTTCTTTTGAGATAGGAGTTCATTACGCAGTTCAGACTGGCCTTGAATTCACTTTGTAGCCCAGGTTGGCCTCAAATTTGCATGATTCTCCTGCCTCAGCCTCCCAAATTCTGGGTGTGCGCACCACACCTGGCCAACCAACTTTTATAGGGTCCTCCCAAAACAGAAAAACCAACTTTAATTTCAGGTGCAGAGGAACAAAAGGAAGCTGAGTCAACACCACATTCTATCTCTAATAATGAGACAGTCTGGGAATGATCTTTTAAAGTGTTGTACAAGATGAGCAAGTTAATAAATATCTACTGTAACTAACTGAACCTGTTATTCAACATCACATTAGTCCTTCATTTTAAGGTTCTCAGGACCTACTGTGCTCTAACATCACTGGTGGGGGTGGGGGAGAATTTTCTTTAGGAAGAAGTAAAAAACTCAAAATAGCTATTTACTTGTAAAACAACGCACTTTTTAAAGACAATACTCCAGCTGACACTGACAAAGGTTCTACAGTCTGAGGTACAGGATCTCAGGATAAATCCTGAGGGGATTTCACTGACCTTATCAGACCCAAAAGCTACAACTCTTGTTGCATAGGTCCTGCTTTACTTTGGTCTTAACCATCCAGCAGAAAAGTATAAAGATGAAGTATAAGAAGTAAAGCCATGCTGTTGTGTTGAGCTGTAGGGGACTCAGGTTGACAATTTCTGACATTCCCAGTCAAGCGGAAGACCCAATACTATTATGGGCTACTGGACTCTTTTAGAATATTTTGCTGAGTTTACACACCTATAATATTCAAATAACGGAACTTAACAACAAAAAGGGTATACAGATGAATGTCCATTTTGTATCTGTGTATTCAAATGGCTAGGATCGATATACAGTTGCATTCTCTTAATGAAGAGAGGGATTTGTTCTAATGGTGTTTGTAAATAGGATATCATGTCTGCATCTTGTACAGCAATTAACCACTAGGAAGAATGTATGCAATGTGTTAATTATTGAAACTGTCCTACCAGTTTGGTTTGAAACTTCTCATTGCTATTTGTCTCTCAATAAATTTATGGAAAAAAAAAAGACAATACTCCAAACCTTTCATTTTGGCAACCCTAACTGAGGTGAAGTTACTTTCACAGGGTTACATTTAACCTAAGACAAACCTATATAACAAAAACCAAACATATAAGTGCCAATTCTAGATCTGCTTTAAAAGGTGAATGAATGCAAACAGAGGATTAAAAACCAGCCCCACTACCTGTGAAAACAGCGCTGGTGTAAGAGAAGCTGTAGGAAGAGATGGACTCAATATTCCCAGAGGGCTTGGGTCACTGCCTGTGATCACAAGGGTAGGTGCCAGTTCTAACCCTTTGGGTTTCTTGGATCTTGATGAATTATTTGTTTTATCCTTTTCTGGCAAAGGTGAACCTTCATTTTTAGGCTCCAGAGACAAGTTCTCTGGAAGCTCCACAGGCTGAGAAGCCACTGTGTCAACCTGCGTGTTGACGTCTGGGCTGGAACTCAGAGGTGGAGATGGTGTCCGGGGAAGCTCCTTCAAGGAAGGGGGCACGGAGGGAATGGGAGGTGTGGGGGTAAAGCTGGCAGCTATGCTGGACACAGAGGCTGGGGCTTCCAGGGAAGGCAGTTTGGGAGAAACCAAGGTCTCTAATGCTTGAATAGTTTCTTCAAAAGATAAAATAGTTGGGTCAGTTGAAATGGTGGCAGCAATAGGTTCAATGGGTGGCTTTTTAGAAGGTGTTGTTACAAATCTGATGACAGATGGTGTTGGTTCCTGAGATTTTTTCTCTGCCAGTTTCTCAGCAGGATTCTCCATCTTTATTGACTTGAAAAGCCTTTTATTGGAGGTGTTCAAAGAGTTGAGAGTAAATGAGGAATACAAGCCAGAGTGTATGTAGTCATTGTGGCTAGAGGTCTTGGTACCAGGCTGAGGTTTCTCCTTCCCCCCATTCTCCACATCTTTGGAAGTGCTGCTAACTTCACTGTAGTTCAGAGTTTCACCATCGCCCTCAATCTTGCCCACTGTCATTGGGTCCATTTTCAAAATCTTTGGGTAAGAGACAAACTTGTATACAAACTTCTGACCATTCACTTTTTTGATGATATTCTATAGGTAAAGAAAATAAGCATTTACATACTTTTCTGTAAACTTACATCCTACATCACAGGGCTTTCTATTTGAAGAATAGCTTACTTAAAAACTTCAAAGTTGCCTACATTCATCGAGCTAAACACACTCCCTATTGTGGAAAAGCCAACACAACAACATTCAAATTAGCAGCTAAATTAATATGTGACACAAAAAGTGACGGCATGAGGATGGTGATAGAGCTCGGTGTTAAAATGCTTCTATAGCATTCTTGGTGCCCTACCTTCCATTTCCAGAACTACATTTAAAAAGAAAGCTGAGAATTTTAATTGCTAGACTGTCAACCAAGTATCTATATTAAGTCAGAACTTACTGAACTGCAATCTTAATTCCAAAGGTACATGCCATAAACATCTTGAGTAAGCAAAAAGGAATGTAGGACATTACAACTGTAAGGTTCCTACTTTCTTTAGAACTTCTGAGCTGAGCCAATAGTCTTTTCCTCTCTCTCCCTCTCTGTGGCACAGGCCTGTATTCCCATCATTCAAGAGGCTAAGGGAGGAGGACAGTTGTGTCAGGTTGGCCTGGGCTACACAGTGAGTTCAAGGCCAGCCTATACTACACAAGTGAGGCCTTGTTTCAAAAACAAACAGAAAAAGACAAAGTAAAGAACTGTGGAGGGGGGGGGGAAGGAAGGGAGAGAGGGATGAAAAAAAGAGAGGAATGTAACCATTATGCACTACAAACATGTACCAATAATTTTTTTTAAAACAAAGAAATGCAACTTTAACAATTTTAATTCTAGTAATAGTTATCCTTTAAGGTATTAATTTGTGTTTCCTGGGGTTAATTATAACTAAAATTTAAGTAAAGTTACAAAAACAAGTATATATGACTTTCTTTCTTTTTGTAGTACTAAAGATTAAACCCGGGGAGGGGGAATGAATCCAAGATCTTCATACAGAGCGACATCTCCAGGCCAGCAAGATAGTTCAGCGGACTAAATGCCTGCCTAGGCAAGTGCAGGGACCGGGTTTCAATCGCCAGTACCACATGTAGCGGTGGCCCCACTCCTGAGTGCACTTAACTGGCCACCAAGACTGGGCAGGTGGCACACCCATGTAATCCCAACACTGGGGAGGCTGAAAACAGGAGGATCACTATGAGTCTGATCTGTGTAGTGAGACTCTGTACCAAATACATTAAAAAAAAGAAGAATCATCATCTCATGATTGCTTTTTTTGAAAATAAACCCTGTACTTCTTCCTTATAAATATAACTGCAGTGAGAACTAAAATGTATGATGAGAGTAGATTACTAAGTAAGAGTTTGCAGAAATGCAGCTGGAACATCTACATCTTATGTCCTAATTACCAATTACTGAAGCTATAAAACTGGATTAAAATAAGACAAGACAGTAGAATCTATAGCTGCAATAGAAAAGAAGGGATAGTGCTCATCTTGAGGTTCTCTGTGTAACACTGAAATCAGGATGTGTGTTACCTTTACATAATAGTATCTGAGGGCTCGGCTGAGTTTGTCGTAATTCATGTTGGGCTTGTTCTTGCGAATTCCCCAAAGACGAGCCACCTCTTCTGCCTGCAGAAGCTTGAACTCCCCATTGTTAGAGGTCCAGCAAATCATGTGCTCATTCTGAGGCTCCTGCAGGAGCTGAAGGAGAAACTGCCACAGGGTGATGGCACTGTCCATAGCAATGGGCTAGAAAAACATAATATTTGTCATTAACATTGAGTCAGGCACTGTTTTAAATGTTCCAAGTGTACTGATTCATTTCTTAACCTCAATGCTCCTATCTTGTAAGAGATACTGCCACAAGAAGATAAAGCCAGTTCCATAAACTCCAGTGGCACACTGACAGTGTCAAACCCTACAGTATCAGGTAATAATTTTGCCTCATTGTCAATCTTCCCAGAGGACCGCCATTTCAGTGTATATCTATTTAAGTCAGCCCTGTTTGTTTACTTGCTGGTACGTGTCTCAGGGTGGGCCTGGAGGCTGAGGTATGGGGAATAACCCAAACTACTTTGGTTCCAATTGGTATTTCTCCTCCAAATGGTATACATTATCATAAGTGTAATTTACATACAAATTGGCAGCTCTGAGAACACAACAAAATGTTCTCCGATTTAATTTACAAGTTGTTACCATTCTGTCTACAGAGATTCTATCTGCTTTAGAGTCTCCTCTTATTTGATTAGCAACTCATTTCATTATCAACACATGAACTGAAAAATCCTTCAATAACGTTTCCAGATCTCTCCTTTCAGGGTAGAGTTTCTGAACTTAAGCATTATTGATTTTGAGGACAAATAATTATTTGTTTTGGGCGTTTTCCTATGCACTGTAATTTGTTCAACAGTACACGTGGTTTCTACCCCTTGGAGGCCAGGAATATCCCCTGCCTAAATGAGACAAAACTAGCTCCAGTCTCCACCAGGTACCTGGGTTGATAACCCCTTGTTTTGGCAATGACGCATCAAGGAAATGCTCTCACAAGGTTATTTTCCTCATAGAACTCCAAAATATTTGGTCTATTAGACAGAATTTTTTTTTTTAGAAAGAATTCTTTAAGGGCAGAAATTCTGGCCAAATATATAGCTCACCCTAAAAATATACTTTGTATAGCTTCATACATAAAAACAAAACCCTTCCCTCCCCTGAGAATGAGACCTCAGTGGATAAGAACAGAGTCTGAGGGCTGAGTGGCTCAGGCCTGTAATCCCAGCACTTGGAAGGCTGAACCAGGAGGATCACTGTGAGGATGAGGCTAACCTGGGCTACACACTGAGGTCAAAACCAGCCCACAGCAGGACCTTGCCTCAAAATAAAAACAAACAAACAAGAAACAGAGCAGAACAGAGTCTGAATAAAACCAAATTAAATCAACTCCATTAAAACACCATGGACTAGGGTGGGTATACCTTGTCTAGCGTGCTCTAGGCCCTGGGTAGGATGAGGGAGGTGGTTATAAGAACAGTTAACTTGTGCTGCAAACGACACATCAAGTGAGAAGACAATTCCCAAAATGGGAGAAAATTCTTTCAAGTTATGTGTTTAAAAAAGAACTTGTATCTAAAATATATATATTAAAAAAAACTTTTACGAGTTGAAAAAACTTTTTTTTTTTTGTGGAACTGGGGATCAAATTCAGTCCCTTGTGCTTGCCAGGGAAGCGCTTATTCCACTGAGCCATGTCTCAGTTACTCTTCTCTCGTGGTTGGGACAAATACCCGATGCTCAAAATGAAGGAGGGAAAGGTTTATTTAGCTGACAGTTACTGGAGGTTTCAGTCCATACACAGCTGGCTCCAAGGCAGAGCAGCACAGAGCAGAAAGCAACCTTTCAAGGTGGTGGTGAGTAAGAGCCCAAGGGAGGAGTAGCAGCAGCTCAGGCAGCTAGCTTCTCTTCCTTCCTTACACTGTAAGGCAAATTACCTGCCCCAGGGCAGGTGCAGCATCCACACCTACAATAATCAATCACAAACTCCAGAAGCGCCCCAAGACTGCAGGAGGCTTTGGGGGGACACCTAGACACAAACCAAAACAAGCTATCTCCCAGGCCCCAGAAAAAACAATTTTCAAGTAGACAAAGGAATTAAAAAGACATTTCTCCAAAGGTATGTAAATACCCAGAAGCACATAAAAAGAGAAAGATGCCTAACCTCTTTAGTCCTTAGTGAAATGAAAATCGAAACCACCTAAGAACCCATCTAGGGCTGAGAGATAGCTCAGCGGTCTAAAGTGTGCCTGCTTAGGCAAGCGCAGGAATCGAGGACCGATCCCTGGCACCACATGCCATGCCAGGCCTGCCTCCCAGGGTAGGAGATGGCCACAAAAAAGAAAAAAAAAAAAGAACCCATCTATACCTTCTAAATGATAATAATAATAACAAGAAAGAAAATAACAAGTGCTAGCAAAGATGTACAGAAACTAAAGCCCTCACACACTGCTGGTGGAAAAATAAAATGGCACAGCCACATCAGATAGCTTACTATATGAACTACCAACTCCTCTCCTAGGTACAAACCCAAAAGAAATGAAAATAAATTTCCATACAAAGACTTATATGAGAATGTTCATAGCAGAATTACTCATTGTATCTAATGAATGCAAACAACTCAAATTTCTGTAAATTAATGTGGTGACACTCAAAAAAAGATATCATTCAGTTATAAAAAGGAATTAAGGGGGGGCCTGCCCGTTAGCTCAGTTCTTTAAGTGGCTGCTTCAACAAAGCGGTCAGGCTCAGGTTGCTGTGGTTCGATCCCCACAACTCAAGCCAGCCAAACCTGCCCTGAAGGCATTCAGAGCAAAAAAAAAAAAAAAAGGAATTAAGTACTGATATAACATGGATGAACCTTGAAGCAGTTTATCCAAGAAGCCAGTCACTGTTTGGGAGGGGCTCAGTGGTAGAGTGCTTGCCTATCATGCACAAGCGCCTATGTTCAATACCCAGTACCACAAAAAAAAAAAAAAAAAGCTAGCCACAAATGACTACGATCCTATTTATATGAAATGTGGAGAATAGGCTAATTTATAGACAAAGTACATCAGTGTTGCTTAGGGCTAAAGGACAGGGGGTGGAGGAGGAGAGGGGAGAGGACCCTGGAGTGACTGTTAAAGAGTATGAGGTTTCTTTTTGGGCAGCTGAAAATATTCTAAATTTGATTGTGTGGTGGTAGTTGTACAACTCTCTATTAAAAATCACTAAACTGTATATGTTACACGTGAATTTCATGGTGTTTGAATTACAACTCAATAAAGATGTTTAAAGCAAAACACAACAAACAGTACAAATGTTAGGCCTGAATATAACTCACAATGGATGGGATCCTTAAGGGTCAACTATCTTTTTCTAAAAAACAAAACAAAACAAAAAAAAAGCCAGAGATACGGGGCTCTAGTGGAAAAGATGTTTTGTAACTTTTGTGAAGCTTAAGAAACGTCTTCCCGTAATCTTCAGTTATCACCTTACAGTAGATCATAGAGATGGTGTCATTTAAAAGATAGGAAAAATAATGACTGGAAAGGGGAGATGCACCCCACAGTCTGAGTTCTTGGAGAAGATGAGGCCATGAAGCCAAGCCTCCTTCATCATTCCTACATTGATCTACTTCGCCCAGGGAACCTTCTTCCCTAAAAGGACAAAAACATGCCACGTGATTCTAAAGCATTACTTTCGATGCTAAATGATAACACACAAATGAAGAGCTACTTAATGCTAAATGTAACCATGCCTATTAAAAAAATCAGTATTACACAGTCTCACTTAATGGAGTTAAAATAGTGGTTATCATACAATACCTTTAAATGTGGGAGGTTAGTTTCCCATTATTTTTCTGAGTTTACCATATGGACCTTTTTCTCTGATGATGTCTATTCATGGCAATTACTTTTTTATTATGCAGCTTTCCCATTTGAGCAATTATTTGTTAATCCAAGCAAGCCAGTTAAAACCCAGGACTGGTAAACACAGCCTTAGCCAAGGAGCTCAATCTCCACATTTCGTCAAGAATGTTTGTAAGGGGCTGGGGAGATGGCTCAGTGGAATAAGCGCTTGACTGGCAAATGCAAGGATCTGAGTTCAATCCCCGGTTCCGCCAAAAAAAAAAAAAAAAAAAAAAAAAGAATGTTTGTGGCTTAGGGCCAGGAATGTATTGTTGGGGACCACAAATTCACAATGGCTAATTCTGCATACTGCCCTAAAAGAGGCTTGGAACTATTGGTATCACCCTTTTGAGAGTTCCCCTTAACTCTCTAGGGCCATGCTCTCACAAGGCTAAGACTACTAAGAATAAAGACACTCCAGGGCCAGATCGTTCTTGGCATTTGACCACCTCCACCTGATGAATCATCTGATAACCCCCTCCTCAATCAATAAATGCCAAATTTCTGGCTGCCTCAAGGCCTTCTGTTCAGTGTAAACTGGTCAACCTGGACTGTAGCCGTACTGTGATCTTGTCTTTTGCTCTTTTTCTCTAGCCCGGCTCTGTGACACCTGCAGGAGATTGGAGCCTACTGCTAGGGTCCCTCACACAATGCATGTGTATGAAAGATGCTGGAGGAGAGACGGGGACTTGATACCATTAGACTACTACAAATGTGATGATCACAATTCCATTTTTGGGAAAAGTTTAAAACCCAAATCCTGGCATCTTAATACCTATCCTGTAGATAACATTTGAATCCTACAGCTTTAAAATAGCAAATTGTATAACTGAAGAACAAGGCAGAAAACATTAGCATCTCCACAAAGACCACACATGCTAACCTGAGCAAAGAAGAGGTGGTCAGAATTATGTGCTCCCCCAGAGCGGAGCAGATTTCATTTCCACCTCCCCCAATTGGTACCGGTGTAGCAATGTGAGTGAAGTCACACGCTGGTGACCTACTGGACCCAACAGAATGTGGAAAATGAAACTGCATCTGGCACAGAACCATGCACCAAGCCGAGAAGGATGCTGAGAGGAAACGAAAAAGGGTCCTACAGTTTTGACTGAGGTACTGGAAGTGAACTTCCTTTTAAGAGAAACTAATGAACATAAAATGGGATTCTTCAGTAGACACTTTTAAAAAATTAGCCCATCATCATCATCATCACATGTGTATGTGGCTGGGGATCAAACACCACACCACATGCTTCACATGCTAAAATTTGCGCTACCTCAGAGTTACTCCCTTAGACCCAATTTT